GCTCCCTGTCATTCTGGGAGCAGCAACTGAGCTAAGCAGTGACTGAGAAGCCTCTTACCTGTGCCAGCCTTGCAGCAAAGGCCAGTGTGGACATGAGGCCTCTTGATTGTTGCTCAGGCAGCTGCTCAGTTGCTGTTCCCAGGGTGACCCGGTGCAAGGGAGAAGCTTCTCCCTAGAGAGGAATCCTTCATCAGGGCAGATAAAGGTGCAGCTGGAGCATATGTAGGGGATTTACAGAGGCCACATGCTCTGGACTGGAGACTGGTGTGGACTGGGAAAGGGAGAGATTTTAACTACCAGACCTGCTCCAAGACAGGACTCTTTCCAAGAATTGAGGATAGATACTTCTTCCCCAGAAACATATCTTCCCCACACAGCTTCAAGTGTCCACTCTTCCACAAAAAAATTGTTTCTTCTGCTACCACTTCTCTCATCCTGTCAGATGAAAGAAAACAGGAGCAGCAGTGCAACCCCAACCTGCTAGCAAAGCTCACAAAGCTGAAGCAGGGTCCCAAATTTGAATGCTACTTTTTGCCGCCACTTCTCTGTTGCCACCATGTGTCCTCTAACTCTTTGCTCCAGTCTGTCCCAAAGTGGTGCCATTTTGAGCCACAGAAACAATGCTCTGTGCCCAAGCCTTGCAAAATTTTCCCAACTGTCACCGCTAGTGAAAGGTGCCAGTAAAGGAGTGAACTCACATGGGCAGGCAAAGGGCAGGAGACACTACCACATAAAATGATCAGTGAGACTGGGTGATGGTTTCTGGGGATCTTGAAAATAAGTTTAATGTAATCTCCTCCCCTACCTTGATCCTAAAGGCCACTAGTTCCCCTTGTCTTTCCTGCACACCAGTACTTTGATTGAAGGGCCCCCTGCCACCCTGTTTCCCCCTCACTCCCCCGACCCCTTTCCCCCTCACAGCTCCCCTGGATCTTTCCACCATTCCAGGGGTGTGTGTACCACCCACTTTAGGAATCACTACTCTAAAATATAGCCTATAGCATCTGCTATTTATTGGTGACATTAGTCCTGCAATAGTTTACATCTTTGACTACAATTCTGGAGAACAAGGTTCAAATCCCCACTTGGCCATGGAAACCCACTGAGTGATCTTAGGTATATCACACTCCTTCAGCCTCAGAGGAAGGCAAAAGCAATCCTCTCCCCAAATAAATCTTGCCAAGAAAACCTCATGCATTGGTAGTTCCAAAATGTTGATCACTACTGATGGTAGATATTTTAGTTTTTGGATGGCAGGGGATACAACTTGGTTTTGAAACAAAGCATCATTATGTAAGCAATACAATTACTATTGGCTGCTAATGTGAATCTGCTCATAGTCTGCTTGAACACATTCAGGTAAGAGTGTAGCTGTCTAAGGCCTTGTCTTCACTTGCCAGAATACTCTGAGGGTGCTCCTCCAAAGTATTGTGGCTCCAAATCTCCCCCCCCTCTTTTGATATGGGTTTTCAGTTCTTGCAGTAAATGACAAGCAGCTGCCTTCCCATGTGATCTATGTTTGTTACCTGGTGCTGCAGCTGAGGTCAGAATGAAGTGCTTAGCCATGTTATCAATGCTGAGTGCCTCACTGTGACCTCAGAATGATTTGTGCCTGCAGTGGCAGCACCAGGCAGCTTGCAGGGACCGTGGGGTAAGGCAGCCACTGCCACCGCCATGAAGAGAAACAAAAACCCACAGCAAATTATTTAAGTGCTGGTTGGGGAAGGCAACTCTTCATGAGCCAGTGCCTGTGTCAGAAACAGAGCAGTAAGTGAGCTTTTTGAGAAAGACTTTTGTAGCACTTTCTTTCACCTCCCCTTCAGACAAATGCGAGTGACTCAGAGAAATTAACTGAATGGATAAATAACTATGACATGATGAAGAAAAACTAGACCCAACACTGTGACCATCCAAGGGCAGGACAAAGCTATGACCCAGTTTAGCCTGGCAGAGAATAGGCCTCTGACGCAGCCTTGAGTGCGGACTGACGTTTTATCCCAAGGAAGAAACATGAGGGGTTTGAATTGACAAAAGACATGAAAAGAATCAAGCATGCATTAAATAGTCGGTATGTTTTTTGATTAGTGACGAGTCTAAACTGCTTCACAGTCATTAATATACTTTGATAACTATGAGAAAAAAAGACTAAATGTTTTAATTGAGATGTTATTAGTCTTTGCTAGGGACATGACAAACTCTCAGTTTTTATTTTCTATGGTTTCTCTGAATCCTGCCTCTATAACCATCCCAAGTAATGGGACTCACCCACTTGGAAGTTAATCCATGTTTTCTTCTGTCATGTTGCCATGTATTTATGCTATTTCCTAACGTGTGTGTTTTGTACAGAGTCTATGATTCTAGATGCCCAAGTCCTTGCAATCATTCCAGTCCTTTTGCATACATTGACCAGGAGAGTGGAACCAGCCACACTCCCTTCTGAGCAAATGTAAGAATCTGATGGCTTACTTCTCTGTAAGTCAAAAAATTGGAGAAAACCTCCCCCCCCCTCAAATAAACATGAGAGGCCTGAAATATTCCCTTGGAAGCAAAGTCCTCCAGAGAATTATAGTGGGGGCAGGCAAAGTGTAGGTCCCCAGATGTCATTGAACTGCAGCTCCCATGAGCCGTAGTCAGTATAGGCAATGCTGCTGTCCAGCAACATCTAGATTGCCATATTTTGCTCCAGAATCCAAATTATATCATTCATCTGTAGCAGGGATGGACAACTTCAGTAGATCTAGGGGTAAGCCTTTGTCTCTGGGGACCTTGAGGGACTAAATGCTCCAAAATTGGGAGTAGGGGAGAAGAAGACCAGAAATGGACAGAATTTTATTGCTGGGTTCCACCACATTATTTTTTGTTCTCTGGTTAGTGGATTTATGCAGCTATTTTTTGTTTTAATTTTTGATCTACCTTTACTGTAATAAAGTTTATAGACTCCTAAAAAAAGGGCAAATATTATGTTACAAATGCCATGTTTCTTGCATCAATTTAAAATGTGAACTAATGCTCCTGGAGATGTTACCTACTTTTTGACAGAAAAATTGCAGGGGTGTGTGTGTTTGGCCGCAAGGCTACATTTTGTCCACTTCTGATCTATTTAATCTCTTACAGCAGCTCTACACAGACATGATGAGAGAAAGTGTATGTGACTCATGTTTCTTTTGTGATATATGCAGTTGGCCCCATGTCATTCCCCTGCTTTGAAATGCATGCATCCCAGATGAATGGGGAACCCACAGATCTCAGCACATAATACATAATTTCCCACATTGTACATTAGCTGAGATAGAAACCTTGCTGGTTTATCACTTGCAAAGTTGCACTGAGTGTGCCAGATGGTGTCAGCTGAAGTTTACCAAGGGAACAGTTTGAATATGTAGCATTAAAAAAAATCTCCCACCCCTGTCCAGAAGATATATGAGGGATGTGGGGATAGAAGGAGGAAAAGATACGCACTTGCTAATGTATTCTCCTGTCAGGATGACTCCACAGGTTTGGCACTTGAAGCAGCTGACATGCCACTGTTTCTCTAAAGCCAGAAGGGACTGACCTTGCTTGATTTCCTCCTTGCAACCTGCACATTCTAAGGAGCAAGAAAAACCTGAGAATTAATAACAATGCTGATGCTGATGCCATCACCTGAATGGTCTTAGATGCTCACAATGAAGTGCTACTCAAAAGGACAATGCTAGTCAAAGTAGTTTCCATAAGCTGGTATTGTTGACTACTGTGGCACATTTCCAGAAAAGAAAGAGTTTTAACCAATGGAAACAAACATGGTGCCAGTCTCTGACACACTGGGGGTGGGGAGACCTGCCAGTCAAGCTTAAGAAGCACTGCTAAGGGAACCCCTTGAAGAGGGATGGATAATGAATAGCTACCATATGCTGTTGGGCTGAGGATCCCATTACCTTGCACCACTGACTATGCTAGTTAGGGCTGATGGTAGTTACAGTCTAACTACATCTGGAGGACCACACTTTCCACAGCTCTGACCTTGAATGCTCTTCCTTGGCCCTCTTCTCTCAAGAAAGATATTGGTACTGCTGGCAAATTGCCTATGTGAGTATTTTTTTCTGTCTATGAAGAAGTTTCTTACAGAAACAGCAGCAATACTGAGTGCTGAAGCCCAAGAGGACATTTGAGATACTTACTAGCAAGTCCACATGATAGGCCACCATCCTAACTGTGATTTTAATTTGACGTGTAGACTTACAATCAGATCTCATTGGTAATAAGTCACTACTAAGGTTAGCAACAGATGGTATCATGAAAGATGGCACAAAGCATTTTGATTTGATTTGATTCTGTGTTCTAGCATGGCAGAGGGTTAGACCTGATGGCCCTTTAGATCTCTTCCAACTCCATGATGCTATGATTTCTCAGTGATGTTTTGAATAATTGAAAGATATTCAGTCCCCCCATTATCCCACTCTCCAAACCATTAAACACATTCTAAACATTACACTGAGCCATATGTTGAACTGAGAGCCCAGGATGGAAAGTGATTTCCTTGTTTTAAGACCCATTTGTTGAGTCTGAAATGGTTTCGTATATTTTATTGTTGACAAGCAGTCCACTTAGGGATCCACCTTTGCAAAATATTATAGCAATCCATCTGGCTGTCCACTGTCATCTCCTCTTCTTTTTGAACTGTATATTGCTAGTTTAACCCTTGATCCAGTTCCTTGAACCAGATTTAATATGAGAGCAATTCTTCGCCTTTTCTTTACCATGGGCCCCCTTTAAATATTTTTGTTGCCATAGATCACCAAGGCCTAACACAAGATTCAAAACCCTAAAGTGCATCAAACTTTTATTTAAAATTGCTCATCAAGGGTCTTCAGATTTGGAGAGAAGGGATAAATAAGTAAATGTACATATTCCTATTATATTTTGTATGGAATGATTCCATACAAATTAATAATAGCAACAAGAATCAGAATCAGAATCAGAAACATAATAATATTGTACAGTAGTGAGAAATGTAAAAGAGAGGCCAGCATGGTGTAGTGGTTTGAGTGTTGGTCTAGGACTCTGGAGACGAGGGTTCGATTCCCTGCTTGGCCATGGAAACCTATTGGGTGACCTTGGGCAAGTCACATGTTCTCAGCCTCAGGGAAAGGCAATGGCAAACCTCTCCTGAACAAATCTTGCCAAGAAAACCCCATGATAGGTTTGCCTTAGGATGGCCATAAACTTGAATGACTTGAGGGCACACACAACAGTAAGAAATGTCTCATGCTTTCTCTCAGCCACTTAACATCATCCACTTGTATGTTCTCATTGCATGTAGACATAGCAAGTGCTGAATACATTTTTTTGCTATCAACAGTTACTTTCATAACCGATTTTTACTTTTGTTTGTTTTCAATGGAGGTAGCAGGTTAGTACAATCAGTGCAATTGATGGATCAAGCTGAAATTTGGCACCAAAATCTATCCATCTTTCTTTCTTTCTTTCTTTCTTTCTTTCTTTCTTTCTTTCTTTCTTTCTTTCTTTCTTTCTTTCTTTCCCTCCTTCCTTTGTTAATTCCATTTTAATTAATTAATTAATTAATTAATTCTATTTTAAGTGTAAGAGCTCATAATATATCTTCAAGTCTTTATAAACCCCTTGTGAGTATATTTTGGCCCCTGGGGGTCCAGATTAAGAACTGCGGCTGTGAACCAAGATTCAGGGAGATCTAGGCACTAATGTAATGAAAAGGAAACAAACAGATGTAAAATGTGTTTTTGGAACTTCTATGTACCACCAGTTTGAGTGGGGGTGCCTTGGGCTACTCCATCCAATCTCTGTGCTATGTTGAACTATTTTTCTTATGGCAAAGGACCACAGGGTGGTGCTGGCAGCTTCCACCTGAGCTTGGTCATTCACTGGTAGATGTCAAATGGAAATATATTTTTGGATACAAGCTAGTCTCGGGAAAGCTGCTCCATAATCTCTGTCTAGTTAGGCTATGTGTAGTGTGTGAATATGTGGTACTTAGTGGCCTTCTCTCCCATTTCCCACTTCCTTTGCTGCTGCCTGTTGAGCCCAGCAGAAGGAAGCACATTGGCCTGGAAACCATAACCTTGACAGAACTGACTGGCTCTTTCCTCCACTGTTGAGAATCCTCAGATTTTCAAGGAGTTTCATTGTTAAAAAAGTAGGAGACAGGACCATCCAACTGTTTGGGGAAGTTATTCCAGTCCTTCCCTCTCACATTAAGACCAGAAAATGCAATAAAAGAAAACATTTTTGCAGGTATCTGGTAAAGGTCTGCAATCTGGAAATACCCACTGACACTGTGTTTCAGTCTGAAACACACAGAAATGCCGGAGGGGTTGACTGAAAGTACAAATCAGATCTCCAAGCTCTTTCAGTCTGATTTATTTTCTCCCCTGTCACCCATCTGTCAACACTATCCCAGGTCTGCTGCTCATCCTTTTAGTACATTTCACTGGTAAGGTGGCTTAGGGAGATCAATATAGACATAAATATAAAAAGCAAATATTTTTGCAGAGATTAGTTAAATATATACCGAGAAATAGTTATATCTACAGAGAAAGAGAGCCTGGGACATTCTATTCCTGGGACAGTGCATACTAGCAAAATATTCTTCTTGCCTCTTTTTCTGAAATCACTGCTAGATCTCATCTGATGCCAATTTAGGAGCAGATACATTAAAAGCTGCTTCTTAGAAAGGTGCAGATTGCAGGCAGAAAGAGGCTGCCCTTCAGCCATACACATCGTGAACGCTGCTTGCTGCTGGTTATGAATAATCCATGGTGCTCCGGAGTAACCTGAGCTGTGCAGTTGTAGAGAGGAATATATCTAGGAGTACGTAGAGAGATCTTGTAGCACCTTTGAGACTAACTGAAAGAAAGAAATTGGCAGCATGAGCTTTCGTAGACTTCAGTCTACTTCCTCAGATTCATTTGGTGGACCAAATTCATATTCAAAAACATCATATGACCCAAGACAGGATCTTATACCAAGAAAGGCTAGGCATTGGGATGCTGGTGCAAAGGTTTCCCAGACTAGGTGTGGTGTCAATCCAGAGTTAATAAAGAGAAAAGACGTACAATCACCAAGTACATAATTTTACTACTTCCTGCTACCTTGGTAAGATTTCAAGCAAAAGATACATCCTATTTCTCTAACACCATAAATATGATTATCAGGAACAGCTCTTCATTTCATTCTGAAAGCAGAAATGTCACCTGCCAGGCTCCTCCCTTCCAGGCAAATATAAAAAGCAAAGAAGTTCTATCCTAAATTGCATCCCACCACATATCTCAAGGTGATATCCATCTTCTTTTGTCACAGAAAGACAAACAAATGATGGAGAAGCCATGAAAATTAACTCCCATCTCCTTTCACTTATCTTCCTGCATGCAACACATAGATGGGGAAAGTTACTATTTGGAATACAATTCCTGGAATTCTGGAAGTTGTAGTCCAAAAAATGACTTTTCCAGGCTCTGACAAGGCATAATATCTTGTCACACATTTCCTTTGCTGATGTCCACAACTCTTTCCCATAAAGAATGTTTGTGCTAGCCACTATCCAGTCTAAAGGTTATCAGTGGGATACAGCCATCCATCTGGCCTGTCTGGAACTGAGATGTATTTTGCAGATGTAGTAAACAAAAGAGAGAGAGCATGTCCTGGTTTTCAGATGAAATGGACACCAAAACAAAGTTTAGTTTTATATATTCTCAAATGAGAAATGGTCACAGCCCCTCCATCCCACTTTACTCCACTCTATTCTTCCTGGAAAATTCAGTGTTACATTCCTTGCAGCACTTACTTTTCTGGCAATTCCGGCAAAACAGTTTATATTTAAGAATGACACAAAATAAGAGCAGAAAGGAAATCTGTCCCCAAATTCAAGTGTACTACAAAAGAAATGAGTTTATATAGAAATGCAGATAGAAGTTAAACTTCTTTTTACCACCCTGACAGAAGGCAAGCCACAATCCAGCACACAGCTATGTCTCTGCATGCCTGTCAAATCAATAGACTTAAGAGCTCTTAGCTCTCTGTTGAATTTGTGGCCACTAGTCTTGTTTGGCATCTCCCAACAGCCCGGCCAGGAGTGGGCTGTCACAGGAAAACACTGTTTTGTAATCATAGTGAGGAAAAACTGTACAGTTCTGCTCTCAGCAATCAATGTGTCTAAGTAAACACCAGGGAACAGCAACATCTGTTGCCTCTGCTCTGAGATCACACGGCCTGCACTGCAACTGCATCCGGCTGGTTCACTTCCCAGTCTCAACTATTCCCCACAAGGCCTTTTAAAAAGTAGTTCATTATTTCTAAGTTGAGTCACAAAGCACTGTGGAGTCAGGGTGACAATAGGTGACCCAAGAAGGATGGCTTCCCTTCTCCAGATTTTCTTGCCAACCTCAATCCAACTCCTGACCTAGCTGCAGGCAGAGTGTTTCTCTTCCCATCCACCTGCCTTTGTTGTACCCTATTAGCAGAAGACATGCTCCACAGAGGCAGCAACTCAAATGAATGTATGTACGGCACAGAGGAAGCAAAACCCACTTCCCTCCACATACCCATCCTGAAACTTTTGAGTTAATCACCTGCCCTGGAACAGGCAAGGACCCTCTGTGGTTAATGCCAAATTATAATAGGTGCAGTGATCTATCTACACAAGACCAGACTGTATCTGGTCCCTCCCTGGCCTTTTGGACCATGAACATCTGTGCCTGTGTCAGGTCAAGGTTAGGGATTGGCCAACAAGAAAGAAAAGAGCTTGTCCAATATTCCACCATTTGTTGTTGTTAGCTAACTTCGTGTCGATCTCGACCCATGGTGACTCTATGAATGAGAAATCTCCTGGCCCTCCTGTCCTCTACTGCTCCGCTGAGCTCCTGCAAACTCATATTCATGGTCTCTTTAATAAAGTCCATCCATCTAGCATGTGGTCTTTCTCTCTTTCTACCTCCCTTCACCTTTCCTAACATTATGGCCTTTTCCAATGACTCAGGCCTTCTCATGATGTGTCCAAAGTATGACCATTCTGGCCTCTAGAGATATTTCTGGCTTGATCTGCTCTAGGACCCATCTGTTTGTCCCTTTGGCTGTCCATGGAATCGTCAGCACTCTTCTCCTGCACCCCATCTCAAATGAGTTGATTTTCCTCTTATCTTCTTTCTTGACTGTCCA